GCCCACGCCCCCGCCCCCGCCCCCTGGCAGACCGTCGGGCACTTATCGCTTTATGTGTCCGGGAGGAATAAAATACCGGAAAAGACTTTTGTTACCCGCCGCAGGCACTCTTGTAAAATGCATGTTAAGGGAATCATATGACACGTACTATCATGGGGAAGTTGCTGATGCCGGGAGCGCTCGCGCGGGGCGGGCTTTTTACTGGTTTCTGTTACTCTGAATATAAATCAAGCGCTCCTGTTGAGTGTTCGCCTCTCAAGTCGCCGGCGTGCCTTCGGGCCCGTAAATTTCCCTGGAGAAAAATTGTCGGGAAATAATGCAAGTTTCAGGTGTGGTGTGCCATGGCAGCACCGTCTATTTACAGGACGCAAGCAACTCCTGGCTTTTATTGGGGCAATAGTATCCGTTTCGTTGTTCACCGCGTTTATTCGATGTGAAAGGAGCTTCTTGTAGCTAAGTTTCGGATGTGCAGTGGATGCACCTTTTTCTCTCGATGGCAGCGAATTTCGAAAGTTGTGCAAATAAATTGGGAGCTTTGAGTGTTAGGATTGTGAAAAATAATATAGCATGGCTTGCATTCTAAATGTATGTCTTTATACTGTTCTGAACAAGGGGAGTGGGAGGAATACACGTGACATCGACGCCTGACATGAACTCGTTTAAAAAAGGTTGTGTGACGTTTTGTGACGGCAGGTTTACCCTCTTAAGAAGTTCTTTCCTCTCCCGTACCATATGGTCTCTTCGCCGCTGCTTTGAAGCGAAGAAGAGATCTGGAGAAGAATACCAGAATCCTTAGGATACTGTAGAATGCAGGCTTTGTAGTTTAAAGACCTTCAGCCTAGCTTCTTAGTAATGTAATGAACGAGTTTATTTTGGTGGTAAATAGCCTAATAAATAAATAAAGTAGGTAGTATGAAAGTTTGTAAAGCAATAGCATTCCGATAGATAATGGTGAAAATTGTTGCTGTATGTGATGCATACCTATTGACCATACTTCCAATCTAAAGACTATTTAAAGACATTCAAGCATATATTTATATCGTGCATTCCAAAAAACCAATGATTACCTTACTTTAACCGCATGTTATAATCTTGATTGATGAACTTACGAATCAGGAATATTGAGAACGGCGTTTGTATTGTAGTTGAATGCTTTGTCATGTGAAATATCACTTCTTAAATTCAGAAGAGCGTTTGTATTTCAGCTGAATACTTAGTGATCTGCAACATCTGCGTCTTAGCTCGATTCCATAGATACTTTTGGTCATAAAAGTTGCGCGATAATCCAACAGACATATGCCTTCTTGAAACATTTTGACGAATGTTTTGATCTATTTTGTGAAGATTTCATTGCTATTATTGAAGAGATATTTCAGTTATGTATCATCGTCATGTATACGGTTTCGTTGTTTTGTCTGTCTTCTTTTGAAGCACATTTTCCCTTTTCTTGATATTTCTCGCATCTTGAAGTCTGGGTCGCTGTTTTCACTCTTACATTCTGCTCTATCTTCTTTGCAGAAGGGAATTGAAGAAACCACGAACGATGAAACGTGAAGTCATGCTACGACGGTCTAACAGCCATAGTTCGTGACCACGGCTGAAAGAACACGTGACCAGTGTACATGCTTCGTAGCATCCTTAAGCTGCTTCTCCAGTTAATAAATCATACGTTTTAATAGAAGAGTAGAACACATGCATTTGTCTTCCCCGTTGCTGCCATTGACCTTTCTTTTTGGGTGCGAGAAAAGATGATTTTATTTTGTGACATCGGTTTGGATGATGTTGCCGCATGCTTGCTTCTTTCGAAGCTCATCAGACAGGTGTGTTGGTACTTCGTAGTTTCATTTGTTTCCTTCCCTCGTACTTAGATGGGAATTGGGTTACAGAGGAACATTCGGGATGTGAAATTTAAACTAATCCGTTACGGTACTCAAATGTAGCCTACAGTCTAATGTTAACTCTATGGTCATTCGATTTCGAAGGAAACAGCATATTCTTAAAAAAATATTTAACCTTGACATCCTTGCTGATTAAGAAAAATTAAGATAGTAAGGGGTTTAAACATTGTGTAGTGTTGCAGAAATCGAAAACAATGTCGGTTTTCTGCACATGCGCAATTATTAAGTTTCTGCTCATGCGCAGAAGACCGATATTGCTGTCGATTGCTATAGAGTGATTAAACGCCGTAATTCACTCTTCTGGACTGTACAGTATGCTGTATAGTTAACCTTAGCACTTTGTAAGAGCTCTTGTAATATTCGTATTTCAATTTCTCTTTAAATTAATTGTATACATAATTATTAAAAGTTAATGTATTCGCATGATTATTAGAAAGTGTATTCAAGAGAGCATTATAGTTATTATTTTCTTTTTATTAACGTGTGAAGACAGGATTGCCTGTAATGTGTTCTGAATCGATTGTATTGTGGCTGATATTTTTGAATCTTTGCCACTTTACCTTCACGTTAATCATGCTGTTCCAGGATTCGAACTTAACGCACTTCTCCTTTGAGATGTGTTATAAGTTCTGTTTCTTTAATGTTTCTGTCTGGCATTGTATAGTCGTTTTTTTGTTACATCCGCTTCCTTTTTCTCATTTTACTGACTGTTTTGAGATTCACTCTAATATCATTGTTCTCAAGCATGCAATTCGACTTTTTGTGTCTTCCTTTACACTGCTTTTTTGATGCTAACCGATGAAAATTCCAATATTCACACAGTTATTCCACCTACAAAAAAAGTCTCCATATTCTTATGGAATCACATTTTGCTAAACCCTTACTCTAACAGTGAATTAGATCTGTATCTTCTCTAGATTCTAAGTCTTTATCTTCAGTTTATAATTACATATTTTGAGCGAACGATGGAATGCAGATGTCAACAAATGACTGTTTTTAATGCTCTTGTACGTCATGTGACCATGAAAACCACACAATGGATTTTCATCGTGTGAAAGACCTCTTGTCCTTCGATGGTAAGGAACTCCTGACTTTTATTGCCACGTAAAGTTACCGTAGAGTGCTAATGGATTAAAACCATTAGAGTAATTGTAGACACTAAACAAGTTTACAGCCAATGAAAATTCATGCGAACTAGTCTCTTACAACTATTGTATGTACTCCAAGATCACCAGTGACACCGACTTCTGATGCGAGCCTGTGATGGTGATTCGCTTCGACCCTTCTCTCACTTCACACGTACGCTACTTTTTTATTTATAATTATATATTTATACATGTACACCTCTGTGCGTAGCGCTCTGTATTCGCCTTCGGGAGGTCTGGGTTCGATCACCGGGCCGACTGTGCTGACCGGGGTTTTCGTGGTTTCCCTCGGTAACAAGGCGAACGCTGGTATGCTTCCAAAATCCCACGAACACCTCCCACTACTCCACCTAACACCTAGTCCTAGACGATCATCCTAGTCCTTTCACTTATCATCATCATCATCATCATCATCCTATCCCCCCTAATTGATAGCCAAGGCTAACAACCTTGCCTTAAGTGAGGGATGCAGCTGAAAGGCTGACCCCCATAATTCCACACGTTGATCTCTCCACAATAGAATACAAATGAGCCTCGAGGAGAGAATTATGTTGCGTGGCCAATACTGGCTCGTAGGCGTATTACATATATAATATGAAAAAAACAATTTATTGACTCCATAAAATATTTATTCCACTTCCGCGTGTCCTTGAGCTTTAGCATTCTCGCCACAAAAGGCCGTTCAGTGAAAAAAAATTTTCCTCCCTTTTCTATAAAATAAGGTAATGGAATAGGAAGGTATTGAAATGACCTCTACAATATGATATCGATTTTTCGGTCGTAAAATCTCTGTTAAAGTTTCTTTTTGATTTGTAACTTTGCACACTGTCAGGATTAATATATATTAAAGCTGTTTTCAAAGATGGTTGAGAT